GCAGGGCTACTTTGGAGTGTCCCCAGAGTCCATCACAGACTACGATATTGACTGACTTGACTTCTAAAACCTAGTTGGCTTACCTTCTAAACCCCTCGCTCCTGGTGCCTGGTGATCCCACTTCCACCTGCTCTTGCTTCCACCTTAAGTCTTGATATCCTCCTGGTTTCACATCCCCCTTTCCTGAAGATCCAGTCTGATACCCTGGGCCCATAAGGTACCTTCCAGGGCCCCACAGCCCACAACCATCCATCTCTCCCTGCTCTGAGTCCAGAGAGGCTGCTGTGTAAGGCACATCTGGGGGTGAGTATAGGTGCTGCCATGACCCAGCTGTGTGCCCCGTGACAGGCTACTTTCTGTCTCTGCTCTGATGATTATGTCCATGAATGAATGTGACAACCCTCCAAACCCACATCTCAGGTCTGCTATTATATACACTTTTCCTGTGCTCTGCTGTGGGCACTTGTTGCATACCACCCTGGACTTTTATCCCCCTGTTGCCTGGTGCCTTCATGGCAGGTTAACCTTCCAATTAGATGGTAAGCTCCCTGAGGGCAGCAACCTGCTTGTCTTGCTTCCTACCCCTGTGTATCTGCACAACACGCACATCAGGCTCGGCTCACTGAGATGTGGAGGACTGTTGGTCCATCAGGGTATATAGACTGCGGTCTCAGAAGTTAGTGTGAATGAACACCAAGTCACTTGGGAGTTTAGACCACAGGTTTCTGGGCAATCCGAGGCCCAGATCCTTAGACTCAGCCTTTTCCTATCAGAACTCCCTGGAGTTCTTGATCCTCCTGGAAAAGCTACACTGTCAGCAAACCGCCTCCTCCCAAGAGCAAGCCCTCCTAGTGTGAACAGACAGGAGCTCCAGGAGCATCCCTGGGGCACTGAGGCAGATCTACGTCAATTGTGACCTCCCTGGGGTTCTCACTGAGTCCTTAGCTGTGCCCTGAGTTTTCCCCCAAATCGCAGGAACTCCCTCTTTCCACCCACACTCAGCCAGGCTAGATAGAACAGTCAAGCCAAGTAGTAGCAAAGGCCACAGGCAGACCAAAACCAGCCACCCCAGGGCTAACAGCAGAACACTGTCAGGTTTCCAACCTCTATCCAGCCCTCAGCCCAGGAACACCCACAGGCTGGACTCTCCTGGATAGGAGTCCCTGGGTTGCCATTACCATTCTTGGTTGCCTGGCCCAGCACTGGCACGCTTCCTTCCCTTCCAGCTCCTCGGGCCACCTCTGGTGACCCTGCTGTGCATCCTGACAGAGTCATCTTCAGGGACACCCTCCCCTTCTTGCACCGACCAGTAAAATCATAAGCTCATTTTCCCCACAGCCTGACGGCCATACCCCAAGCCGGAAGCTACAGGAATGGGAAGTGTCACAGACGCTAGCACGGCTCTAGGAAACTGCACATGAATGCGAATGTGTGAACACGGGGTGGAGGCGACCTACCTCACCCTGGAAAGCTTAGTGGGCCCATTTACCAATCCCCAAATCCTTTCCATTGACCCATGATTGATTTTTGTCGTCTTGGATCTGCATCTTTTACAGTTTCATCTCCTAAACTGATAGCTCCAGAAGGCTTAAAAACCTGCTGCTCGCTGAGATCCCATCTGGCTCTCACTTAGCGGAAACAGGGGCTAGGACAAATTTCCTGCCTGCCTGTGGGACAGTCAGGGCTCACCTGCTCACATTCTGCTGGTGACTGTGGGGATTTTTGAGGACAGGCTGCTGGGGAAGAGGTGAGCATCAGGTAATGCTCCAGCAACAATATTGACACCTGAGGAGGAGGGGGACATTCTATCTTGCACTGAAGTGACAATGTAGGAGCTTATGACTGACCAACAAGCACAGTGTGGAGGCATCTCTGCTTTGCATCTTGGCTCCCATTATGCCAAGTGCCTCAACCATGCCAGCTTCCCTCACTTTTATTTAGAAATAAGCAGAGGGTATGCATTTTTGTGGGAGTGATAAATGACAACCAGCACTCATTCTGTCAGAAGTGGGGGCCTAGCTGGGGCTGGAGTACCTGGCACAAAGTTAGTGCTCAGTAAATGTTTGTTGAATGAATAAATGTTAAGGTAGATTTGGACAAGCTGATATAGTTAGTGGTTAGGCACCTCAAGCTTGGCATTGAAAGAATGAATTAGTCTCAGGTACTCTTGGGAAAGCTACATGGTTGAGAAACAGCACTATCAACTTCAAGAAGTTGGGGGAATCATGTGTGTTCACACATACAACATGCTTGGCTTAGGCTCTGGTACATGGGAAGCCTGATGTTCAGTGATGACAGGATTATTGTTTTTGATGTAGTGAAATTGCTACCCATTGCATGTGGAGGCTGCAGAGTCTAGTCTGATGACGGTCAGGCAAGCAGGTAGGTGGCCCAGTTGCAGGAAGCAGGCACAAGGGAGTCACATTTCTGAAGCTGAACTTTTGGAAGCCCCCTGGAGTGCCCTGTCCCCAGGCCTTACCTTCCCCTCTGCAAAGTCTGCAATCTCCCCAGCCTCCTGGTTAAGGTGGTGGTGTGGAGGGTAAGGCAGGAGTGGAAAAAGAGGCACACAGCTCTTCAATCCCAGGAGAAAGGAAAGGAGCCAGCTTGGCCTTAGATTTTAATAACTGCTTGAACTGGCAAACTTCCTTGTTTTAAATCAAGAGGTCTGTTCTTTGTCCAGATGCTAGAAAGCAATTTCATGGAGTGCCTTACTTGGGTTGGGCCAGGAGGACCTGGCCATTATGTATGGTGGGGAGGGCAAGAAAGGGTGAACCCAGCCTCAGTGGGACATCACAGCACGCCCTGCTTCTGTCCTTCCCCAGACTTCCTGAAAACCACCCCCCAGCCCACTGAAATTTTCCTCTGCAGGCTGGACAGGGAATTATTTAAAAAGCATCAACTTCTCCTTCCATGCTGGGTGGCATGGGCCAGCATACTGAGCAGGAAGCCTTGAGGCCTGGGCCCAAGGTCAGCTGACCCACTTTCTGGGTCTTCCTTCTCTAGTGAACTAAAGGGTTTACACTAGAAGAGGAATAAGCTTGGAAATTCTCCTGCTGATTAACTCACAAACCCACGGAAGGAGAAGGGATGTGGTATTTATTGCATCCCTAGGGCTCAGCACTTCATATATTTAATCCTCTAGAGAGGATTTTTATGGGGATAGTCTATGCCAAGCAAGGTTTTACAGATGAAGGAGCAGGTGCAGAGAGCTGAAGACTCAAACAAGGTCACCTGGTAAAAAGCTGAGATTCCTACTGGAGCCTGACTCCAAAGCCAGTTGCTCTCCCCTGCATCTGTCGGCTTTGGTTGCCTTCCTCTCTCTGGCCAGGTGTGCAGCTCTGGACTTTAGTCATTCACTTTCACTTTTAAACTCTCTGAAGCTCTGCCCCATACTCTGCTCCCTGACAAGTCCTTAGAAGGAATGGCCATGCAGCAAGGATGGGAAAAGTAGGACAGAGGAATTTACATGTTGGACATTTCTAGGCTGGAGAGGGCACGGATAGACCAAGTCTTGGAGAGTTCAGAGGACTTGGGACCGGTTGTCCACCCCTTAGCCAACAGGTGGTCTGGTCTGAACTCCGTGCTGGCTCTGAGATGAGTGTCACCGATGGTAACTGCAGGCCTTCCTTGCAGGCTGCCTGGTTGAGGTCACTGTCCACTGTTCCAAGCTTCCTACCCCAGCCTCAGCCCAGTGTCGCTCCTACACCACTAAGACCTTTCATCCCTCAGACACTAAGCAGCTGTTCCAGCCTGGCCCTGCTGCCACAGACGATAGACATGGGCACAGAGTGGAGTAAGTCTCAGCACTCCAGTGCTCCCAGCTGGGTCAGCAGCATTTACTTCATAGACTCAGATTCTTCAGCTATGGGTGGGACCTGGACTTACTTTTAGCAAACGGGCACACTCAGGAGAGACTCTTTGGACTTGAACATCTGGCCCTCAGCATCACACTCTTTAGTTTGCCAGAATCCTGAGACATGGCCTGTTGCCCTTACTCACAGGTGCCTCTGGGTTCCCAAGTCAGCTAACCCTTGGTATGAATCCTACTTCTGCAACTTGTTATGAGTCTCCTTGCAAAAACTCCTATGCTTTCTGAGACTCAGTTTCCCCATCCTCAACAAGATAAACAACAGTGCCTTTTTGTTCTGAGGACTAATGGGATACTCTTTGCAAAACAAGCGGCCGGGCATGGATCTATGCACAATAAATGTCTGCTGTTATATCGCTGCTGCACCAGGAGGAAAGAAATACTTCCCTGGGGGGTCCTGGACACCTGGGAGGCCTCTTAGTGCCCTCTGACAGGATGCCAGCAGGACCAGGCCAAATTTTCTCTGCAAATCCCACCTCCTGGTCTCCCAATGACATATTAGCTCATCATACCCCCTTTTTTATTTAACCAGAGTAACCAAAATTCCAACCACACCTCTTTGGGCAGCCTGCCCCCTAATTTCAGGGAAATGAGCAGAAGAGGTATATTTTCCAGGCAAGAAGTCTGCGGGCACCGACCAGCCCAGTTTCCTCCTCACCAAGATCGGGAGCCCCAACCCCAGCCGCTTACCCAGGGCGGGCTGTGACGCCTGGGGAGGAAGATCCCGCCCACCCCCCTCCCACCACCCCCAGGCGATCCCGGAATCGCGGGGTCAGAGCTGCTGGGCAGTGGGGGTCGTGGACACAGTGGGCTACGCTGGATCAAGATGCCTACTTCCCCAAGTCCCACCCGGGGCTCCAGGAGCACTCGACCCTGCCCACGCGGCAGGAGGCTCGCGGCTAGCGTCCCTGGGGAAGGAAGGACCGTGCGCCCACTGGGGGGTAGGCCCGGGGTTCACTGCCGCCGGGCGCACGTGGCTCGGTCCCAGCTGCCGGTCACGCGCAGACCGGTGGGGGCACCCGTCCTCCGCGCGGCGAGAGCTCCGGGTGCAACGAGGCGGCTCCCCAGGCGGGCACTCAGGGGCTGGGCGCGGCCCACCACCCCGCGGCGACGAGAAACTGGGGTCACTCACCTCTCCCAGCCCTGGGCTCCGAATAGCAGCTGCGGCCGAAGGTCCGTGGCGGAGTCGGTGGCTCCGCCCGGAGGCTCCTCCTCTCCTAGAGCCCCGCCCGACCGTGGGGACTGACCTGCCCGGGAGGTGGCTGCCAGCCAGCCCGCCGCCGCTTATCCGGCTCTGCCACCTCCTCGGGCTGCAATCGGGGAGCCGCAGGGTCCTCGATCCCCGCCTGGATGCATAGCGCGGGTGATGACCCACGAACCTCCACCGGGATCGGAAGTTGCGAGCCAGCTCCACGCCCCCCTCCGGTCCGCAGCTTTCTGATGGCGCCGCTCACAGCCCTCTCGGTCAAAGTGTGCAGAACTCAGGGGACTCGTTCTAACCAGGAATGAGAAGGCCTTGGAGGTCAGGGTGACTTCTGAATCCTGCTCCCCTACCCTGAGGGACATCTCGACCCCACATCCATTTCATAACCCGGTGGTTACAGCTCATAGCTGCCTAACATGTGGGGTCAACATACTTCTTTCCGGCAATGGAAGCAGGCAGTAAAGGCCCCTCTTCAGCAAGGTTATATCCAGGTCTCCCAGTCCCTCAGATCCTTGTTCTGATCTACCTTAAGAGAGACCCTTGGCCCTTCCAAGCAGTTTTCAGGTTAAGACCCTCTAGCTTCCTGGAGCTTCTGGGGCACCTGGAGCCTGCCTGCTGTCCTAAACTTTCTGGACTCCAAAATATTCCCTGCTCCTGAGAAAGAAGCAGCTCCTTTGATGCTGCCCTTCCTCCCACCTTGGTAACAGCATAGCACAGCAGTGAGGTGGGTACCTTTGTAGAGGTCTGTGCATTCCTGGAAGACCCCATATCAGGGTGCAGTTGACAGCTCTACTCCAGCTTTATGGGGGCTCTGATGACTAAGTCTGGCCACTGTTATTCATCTCCTGGGATGCTGACTGGAAGTTACCTGATCTCTCAGACTCTTTCAAGAATATTGGGAGGGGGGAGGGGGCGTATTCTATCAGCCCAGATGCAAGAGCTTCATTCACATAGCCCAGGGAAGCCAGCTTGTGCTGGGGGAGATAAGCCTCAGTCAGGCAAGTTATCTGAGTGGAGAGGCAGGGAGACAGGGGTCTAGGGGCTGGGGGGAGAAGGGGACTCAGTCCCTCAGCAGGATGCCAACAGCCCAGAGAGGGTGAAAGGCGAAGTCTGCATAGGAATGTTGCTGTGTCCACCAAGGAGCCAGTGAGGCCTTCACCTGTCCACTTCCCTGTACCTTTCAGGCCTTCAGTGCTCTCCATAGTTCATGTTCCCTTGAGGACACTCCCTTGTAGACTGCCCTCATACAGTGAGACTGCCCTTGAGCTCTTCCTTCGGTTTCCTCCCTCTCCCACTCTGTCCTGCCAGGTCCCAAGACATCATTTTGCCCTACCCTGCTCCAGGGTAACACCCTCTCTTAACTGTTGTGCAGGTCTCATAGGTTCTTCTCCATTCAGAATTTGGGGAGCCCAAGAGTCAATGCCATACCGTTTACATTCTGGGACACCGGTGCTCAATGTCTGATCCCTGCCCTGGGCTGGTGACTTGCCCCTGCAGTGAGCTACCACCTGGCAAGTTATCCTGCGCACATAGATGCTCTTTAAATATCTGCTCTGGGGGATGTGCATCTCTGAGGGGATCACCCCAAAGGATGGAACACAGAGATCCAGCTTAGGAAATGGAGGAACATTCTAAAAGGGTCCTTGGCTTCTTTTATCTCCTTCCAAGGAGAGCTGGTGGGCCTCATGTGGGACTCCCTATACGTGGAGAGAGAGGGCTTTGATGGCTGACTGGCAGAAGTCTACAAGGGAGTGTCCTAAAGGGAACATGAACTATGGAGAGCACTGAAGGCCTGAAAGGCAAAGGAAAGTGGACAGGTGAAGGCCTCACTGCGATGTGGCTCCTTGGTGGACAGGCTTTACTCACAGCCTGGGCTTTGGTGCCCGGCTTGCCTCAGCGGCACAGGATCTGTTGTGGGCGTGAGCTGAACAAGTGTCTCCTGATGCCTTTGGGGCCCTATCTCTGATCCAGGAGGGAGGGTGGCACATGGGCTTTGGCTAAATAACTTCTCTGTGCCAGACTCATGTCCATGGTCAGACCAAGGGCAGAAAAGTCAGAGCCGTCCTTTTAAGACACTCTGCAGGTCACGTCACTCTTCCCCTCGAAGCCCTCTAGAGTCAAAGCCAAGTCCTCGCAGTGGCCGACATCGCCCTGCACAACCTGGCTGCTCCTGGCCTCCACTCCTGTTCCTTCTCTCTCACACCCAGTCCTGCCACGCTGACCTTCTCCCATTTCCTCTAATATATTAGCAACCGCAGGCAGCCCAGGGCTCTAGTTGTTCCCTCTGTCTGGAGCCCCAAGGTCCCCATGACCCCTCCCTTTCAAAACCTTGCTGAAATATCATCTCCAAGAGACCCAGCCTGATCATTTCCCCTTGTCATCCATTACCCTTATTGTGTGTGTGTGTGTGTGTATTTACATAGGCCTTATCTCCTAACACAGTCCAAAACATACATTTTCTGTTTGTTGTTTATTTACTGTCAGCGCCCCCAGAAAGAACCGAGCTCCTGCGGGAGAGGAGTTTGATCTGTCTCACTTCTGCATTTCTAGCGCTGCATGGTGCCTGTCATGGCCACCTCTCAGTAAAGTCGTTGAATGGATCAGCGCCATTCTCACCCTTCTTACTGCCTTACACCCCATTCTTACACCCTTCTTACTGCCTCAGGGGGAGGCGTCCTCCTTGCTCCCACCCACTCTGTCTCTGCTCTTGGCCCAGAGCTAGCGTGGTGCCCAGGGCACACACTGACTGCTCTTGCAGAGCCCTGCACGCCAGCCTCCTGACACTGCCCTTTTTCCTGAAGACAGGGTTAATCTTTGGGCCAAGAGGGCAAGAGTATTCAGGAGAAAAATCTAGATTCATCTCCCACTTGGGCCAGAGGGACACAGTTTGTTCTCAACCTTTTGGCTTGTCCCTGCATTGATAGACTGGGACGGGGCACATCCATTTCACAAAATGAAGCCTCTAATTGACTATTAAAACGAGATGGCCATGAGCAGCAGAGTGCCCAAGGCACTCTGACAGTGCTGGCCGGGAGCCAGTCACCTGGAGCTGGTCCCTGGCAGGGCTGTGGCCCCAGGGAAGGGGGTACTCCTCCCCTTTTTTCCTACCCCTACACCCACCCACATATACCCAGCCCAGAGTGTGAGGCCTTAAGCTTCTGGGTTCTCTCCCATATGTGGAGAGAAGCAAGGCTTCATTCATGGTGGAGGATCCTGAGGATGATTTAGACAAATACTGTGGTTACCTTTACCACCGTGGTGATCCAATGGGTAAAGCCTCATCAGAAACTCCCAGAGCTGAGACAGGCATGACGGGAAGGTTTGTGAGGGAGAGACACCAAATGCAAAGGTGAGCTGGCCAAAGTGTGTTTGGCTTGGAACTACAGACTGTTCTCACATGGCATATCATTTCAATATTATTGCATAACATTATAAGATGTAACTTGTAGGGCACTGGGGCACTCACCCCTGCACCACAAAGCTTGGCTTTTCCAAGTTGAAACACAAACTCCTAGAGAGGAAAGGCTCTCTGAGCTCAGTGGAATGAGAAGATGTGTATCGACAGGGAACAACAGTGACTGGCACAGGGAGAATGTTCTAAAGCGGGTGCTGAAGGACAGAAATGAATAAAAATCTAAGGATTCGGGTACACAAGTAACTGTTCCTTAAGGGAGCCCCCTGGCATGTAGTTGGCACGTAGTAGCTACTTAATACATCTTTGTGTAAGAGCACGTCTTAACTTGTGACAAGACCATGGGAGGTGGGGGCGGGGATAGCAGGCGTGGAGGAAGCTGGCCTAGCGCCTCTGGGGAGCAGCCTGTGCATCCAGCCACAGGTCCTGTTCTGTGTTGCAGTACACTGCCTTCATCTAGGGCAGGTGAAGTCTGGGTATTGACTCCTCACCCTTAATGGGGGGGCACATGCCTACTGGGGAGGTCCTTGGAACCCTCTGGCCCACTCCAGACCTCCTGTAGCAGAACCACATTTTAACAAAAGCCGCTGGTGATTGCATTGTCAAATTAAAGTTTGAGAAATGCTGGTCTACATTAGCAGGGAGGGCACCAACATGTCCTGAATACCTGGGCCAAGGAAGACAGTCAGACAGCCAGAAATCGATACTGAGTCATGTTGTCCTCACGGGGCTGCACTATAATATTGTGCCCTTTACTTTCTCAAAAGTCTTGTGAGCCAAATAGCCTCATTTCCTCTGCAATTTCTATAAAAATGGAGTAAAGCACTGTCTTTCACAACACTCAGTGCCTGTCACACAAAGCTATGAAAACAAAATGTACTTAGTGCATACTCGCTCCTTTCCTACAACTGGTCTTATTTCTCTTTTTACCATGGTTACCAGGATACTCAATCCACGTTCATGACTACATTATCTTTCTTAAATATATTTAAGTGCTACTATATTTTTCTCTAGGCCATTATTTTTTGTGTGTGTGTCTAGTTTACCACTGACCTCCTTGTTAAGGTTTCTGGCAGAGCTGTCCTCAGTTGCTTTTAGAAAAAGTCCGTTTATATAAGCAAATAAACAGGAAATGCGTACTACTGCACAAATTCTTTGTCCCCATGACGGCCTTCACATTTTTATGATAAGAACAGGGTCATGGGCCTATCACCTGCTGCATTTTTGAGGAAAGAACAGAGGGGTGGGGAGAAGAAGGCTTTCTCGACTTTCTGCTAGGAGTTTCCTACTGAAGAAGGAAAACCCACCACGTAGGGGTCGTAGGGGTCGTGGGGGAGAAGTGACAGGATGCCCACACGTGCCCGGTCCTGCTTCCTCCCACCCAATCATGTCTGTCTTACCAGTGCTCCAGGGTGAGGTACCGTTCTTCCTGTCAGGGGCCCCATTCTCCAGGGATCCAGCGGCCATCTCGCCAAAGCTGCTCCTTCTGCGCTGGGCCCCAGCCTGGGTGGGTGGAGCATGGGGGTGGAGAGAGAGTGGGCTGAGGCTACTCATGGGCAGAAAGATGACAATTGGCCAAGAATAGGTGGGGTCACTGGCCTCAGGGTCATCTGCAAACACCCTGATTTCAGCTGCCCTGATAAGCCTTCCCTCCAGGCCTAGGATGCCTTTATGTTTGCTCTGCTCTCAGCCCTGGGTTTTGCCTCTAAGGGGAGGTGAGGGAAGAGGGGCACAATGGCTGTAGCCTTACCTTTGGGCA